CAAGAATGTTGTGTTTTAACATTGAACCTAATCAAAGCAAGCGATACCACTACATTTGTGGGTTGGCACCCAAGAGACTAGGTAATAAGAAGTGATATGAGATGTAGTCTTGAAACTCTACTTACATACGAAAAATAGGAAGTTATAGACTTAGTATTAGGAATATAAATATGGTTGACGCGGCGGAGACTAAAGCTAGTTGGCTGATAATAGGCCTATTTTACCATAGACATGGTCCTTGAGGCAAAGGCTTGATCATGAGATTTACTCAGGGGCTTTAGCCTCAAGTTAGTCTCCCAGACGCAGAGTGTGGGAAATAACGGCTCGAGTAGCACAGATCGAGTGGATTACTTGAACCAGGGAGATAGCAGACGGATCCTACGAGGCACGAGGGAGACTCTGATAAGACCTATGGAAGGAGTACAGCGTAACAATAGGGCAAGCTCGGATCAGTTATCCCAGCACAAGGGTGAAGCGTGGTGAGGAGGTGATAACGCCAGCGTGGAATGTGGATAGTTCTCATGACAGCCGCTCTAAAGGGCACACAATGTTACATTTAAATAAACAAGTAAAAAATTGTGTTAGTGAAGGCAGGATACGAGGATATAGGATTAATGATTAGCCCAGGGCAGAAGGAGAGATACCACGATTGTTATGGAGAAAATTGGTCAAAGGATCGGCTTCACCTGTCTCTTTGACTAGTTTTAGTGTAGTGCTAAGAGTGGCAAGACTCGCTGACAATGCCGACTACGATGCCGGCGAAAGGTCTGGGAATGTACCATGTCCACGGTCCAACTCTGGAAATTGCCATGCATACTATGGACTCCAGACTAGATGCGTTTCTCTACGTCTTCCTACCAATATGACCAAGTTGCAAAAACAAAGTCAAACGATTTCTAAAATTGTATTATTCATCAGTTTCAATTGACTAATGCTAGTCATCTTATATCATTTTACAATTTTACTTTGTCAGAAAGCACGTCGCCTCAGTCTGGTCGCCGTTGGCCGGTTCCAGGTTGTAGCGGTGCCGACAGAGCTTCAGGAGGCTATGCAAGGACTCGCTATGATGTGAAGGAGTACGTCAACCTGACAAACAGCGACTTGTCCACTTGGCTGGCCAACACTGCTGCCCTCTCCTCCTCCTCTGCGAAACGACGTGGCCTTCATGTGGACGCCGAGGGAGATTTGGATGAAGAGGATGTAGAGCAGGTCATCGAAAATGGCAGGTTGGATGATGAGAGAGAGGAGTTAAACGCTGGGGTCATGAGTCAACTGTCCAAGGGTATTCGTAAGCTTGGCACTTGTTCGAAGCCGAGCGAAACTGACTCTGGCCTCCCAGACCGGTCAGAGGTGACCGGCATCATGTCCTCTGTTGTCGGAATTTGTTCTGCCACTGCTCCTGTCACCTCCGGTGCTGTCAGCGGTTCTCCCGCCGTGGCAGTCCTCGATGAAATCGAGGAGGAAGATGAGGAGGAAGAAGAAGAGGAGGGAAGAAACGGCCAAGAGGGGGGTGTGTGTGAAAGGGGAGGAAAGGAGAATAGTCTCCAGCGCATAGACCAACATGCGGAGTCTGGAGGTGAGAAGTTTCTCTGCCGCTGGCAGGCTGGAGCCGGCGGATATCTGGCTCCATCGAGACCGCAATCTGGAAGACGGAGAGGCGTTACTAGTCGAAACGGTCGGGTGCATCGAGAAAGAGAATCGCGTCATACCTACCCGTTGGACGAGAGTGTAGCAACGACAGCCGAAGAACTCGATGTTGTCGATGCTGGCTCGTTGATTGCGGAGCGCGACGAGATGGTGGACCAAAGAGAAGATGAACAACACAAAGCGGATAAACAGGGGGCAAGAATGAGGGATCTACTGGGTCGTGATGCTTTGCAGGTTGAAGCACCTCCGCCCTATGGCCTCCTTGACGCCGACTCCTATCTCCGGCCCTCCCCATCGCCGTGTGTGCCTTTGGAGGCTGCCTTCCCCAGGGTTCGCGTGGCCTGTTCCTCCCCACTCCTTCATTCCCCTCGGTCATCCAGCCGACCAGTCAGTCCCCACATGCTGCATCCTCTGCCCGTACCACCCACACCACTCGGTGCCTACCTCCAGATGAGTCGACGCTGTGCGCCCGGCCAGGGTCAACACCAACTTCAGCACCAACATCCACAGACACCACAGCCGCCACAAACGCAACCACTACAACAACCTCAACCACCACAACCACAACAGCACCCGCATGTTGATCTTTCTGATCCTCGAAATTCTGAATTGGCAGCAGCCATGTTTTACGCGACGCAGGGCATCCAGCATCAGCTCTATCATCAGCACCAGCACCAGCTGCATCAGCTACATCAGCAGTTCCACCAACACCAGCTGCAACAGCAGCAGCAGCAACAGCAACAACAAGATAAACCGACAGTTCTCCAGCCGGGCCAGCAAATTCCTCCCCCACTTCCACCATTGCTGGCTCCTCCTCTTCCACAGGCATATCAATCAGTGCCTCCGCCCTCAATGACAGTAGCTTCCGGCCCTGGTCAGCTGTTGGGGGCCAAGGCGTACTGCGCCGAAGCCCAACCATCTGGACTCGCGCCTCAGACGGTGACCGTACCGACGACTCCGTTGTCGGCCCATCCCTACCTCCCATACTACTACTATTACTACTATCTTCACAATTGTCCACCTCCGATATGTGAGCACGCCAACAACACATTGGACCATCTAGCCCGGGTTCAGACCGGTCCCGAAGATGCTGCTCGTGGGTTTTGAGATATTAAAGTTGTCTTATATCCTTTTTCTTCGCCCAGATAGATAGGATGTCCTGAGTTTTTTTTTCTATTTCATATTGCCCCAACCAAGTTGGCCCTTGGTTACCATTGTTGTGGAGACATTCATTTCGTATGAAAGTATGGTATGATGGGATTTCTCGATCAATCTCGCCAGAAGACTGCTGATTCCCGTCGTTCTTCAGTCCTTTGACTTTACTATAACATTGAGGTTGATGCCGTTCACGAGACATCCTCCATCGTTTCGAGGGAATGTGGTATAAGCTTTCGTCCGTTTATCAACGGACGTCATTATAGCTGAGAAGTATTCTTGAAAAAGCTACTAGTCAAGAAGTCTACCCGGCTCTATCCTACATACTATGCATACGTATAACTAAAAACAAAACAATATAGCTATAGATGAATTATTTGATAAATTCTCTTTTTTATAGTAATTGGGGTACTTTTACTTGTGGTTATACCTTTGTGCATGCATTTATGTTTACGTTTACATTTGCACACGTGTAAGTCGATGTAGGCATTACTAGGTATAACTCAGATTAGATATTTATTCTTTACTTGAATTTTTGCAAAAATAAGTTCCAACTCTGGCGA